ACCTGCTCACGTGTACACACACACCCACACTCACACACATCCCCCACTCACAGATCACACACATCACAAACTCCTGGCAATGTTCATTGTTTTGATGGAAGGAGAGACAGGTTTTTGGAAATTTCCTAATCTCTCACCCCAAATCTCCCCCTCCATGACCCCGAACAGAAAAAGGGGCCAGCATTTGCCCTGGGTGAGGCAGAATTGAATCTGGACCACGGTGCCCCACGTCTCTGACTCATTCTCAGACCCGTCCAGCCAGTGGAGACCACCCTTTGGTCAGAGACTGGTCAAAGCCCCTCCCCAGTCACCCTAGAACATGGCTTTTAGCAGTGTGGCCACATCAGAGGGGAGCAGACACCTGGGGACTCTAGCAGGGCTCGAAGGCCATTGCCCTCAGGGCAAGTCCTATCCGTTGCTGTCCCCTGTGGTTCATTTTCTTTCTGCCTCCCAGTACTTGGCTCCTTGCTGGCTGTGTGAAATTCCTTTCTCTTCTAAACTAATAAAAATCCTCGTCCAAGACTCTCCTCTGTTCAAAAGGCTCCCTGGCGTCCTGGTTGGGTCCCTGCGTCAATCCCCCTGTACCAGCTGCACCTGTGTGAGGAAGGCCCTGTCTGGAAGGAGGTTTCTGGTCACCTGAAGATGGTTTCTCCAAGCTCAGGAGAATGGACGTTGCCCCATCCCCTGGTCACAGGTTCCACACTGCTTAAAGCTGTGGTGGATGCGCTGGGGGGATCTGGAATTTTGCCTCTTACGGAAGGTGAGGGGAGACAGCCACGCCCTGCACTTGGTCCCTGCCCCGCCATGCACCCCGGTTCTGGTGACCTCTTTGAGTGCAGGCAGTAGTGGTGAACAAAGCCTGCTGGGCCTTGACACTTTTTGTTTTCTTTTTCAAGAGAGTGAGTCTCACTCTGTTGCCCTGACTGGAGTGTAGTGGTGCGATCATGGCTCACTGCAGCCTCCACCTCCTAGTCACAAGAGATCCTCCCCACTCAGCCTCCTGAATAGCTGGGACTGCAGATGTATGCCACCATGGCTAATTTTTTGACATTTTTAAAGAAATGGGTCTTATTATGTTGTCCAGGCTGGTCTTGAGCTTTTGGCCTCTACTGATTCTCCTGCCTTGGCCTCCTGACTCACTGGGATTATAGACGTGAGTCACCGTGCCGGGCAACACTTTTTAAATGGATACAGTCTAGGTAGAAGAATCAAGAGGAATGCTGGCTGGGTTGGTCCTGTTTACACCTCCCTGTAATAAAGGAGAGCTGCCAAGCTGGGGGCTCAGAAGAAGGTGGGAGGAAGAGGGGAAGAACTCCAGGACAGCAATAAGGAGGCTGGAAAAGGGGTCTTGGAACATAGACCATCTTCTTAAGACATTTTGAAATTTGTAAGTAATTTTGAGGTTATGAAAATTGTAAAAGTAAAAAAATAGTACAGAGAATATCCTTACAGCCTTTACCAAGATGTACCTGTTGCTAACATTTTACTCTGTTTGCTTTGTTGTCCCCTGTTCTATATGAACACACATGGGTATGTATGTACGTATGTATGTGTGTGTGTGTATGTGTATGTATGTACCTGTGTGTATGTATGCATGTCTGTGTTCCTCTGTCTGTATGTGTATACAGACAATTACTTTTCCTGAACCACTTGAAGGTAAGTTACACTCATCATGAGCTTTATCCTAAATTCTTTAATGAATATTTCCCAGGAATAGGGATATTTTCTTACATTACCATGGTATAGTCATCAACTTCATAGGTTTACATTGAGACAGGACTTTCATCGAACCCACCACCCACACGGCAATCTTATTTGTTGACCCATCATGTCCTTGGCACTATATGTGCCTGCAGTAGAGGATTCTGTGTAGGCTTGAATATTGCGTTCATTCACCGTGGCTCTTTAGCCTTCTGTAATCTGGAACATTTCCTCCGCCTTTCTTTGTCTTTAATGACATTGAAAAGTCAAGGGACTTTTGTGAGGGGCCATGGGCAGAGGCGGTTTTGCCTACTGATTAAGAATACAGATGCTGGCACCCGGCTGCCTGGGCTCAGTCCCACGCTGCCATTTATCAGCCTGGTAAGTGTAGGCGAGTTGCTTAACCCTTCTGTGCCTCAGTTTGATCCTTCATGAATCCAGTGAACAGTTAGCCTGTCACGTGGGGCTGTTAGGAGGCTTGGCACACAGTAAAAACAGGGCAGCCATTCGCTTATTGTTACGGTGGCAAGTCTTTTCTTGAAGAGGTTCCCAGTGCATCAAGCCTCACAGGGGTGCCTTAGCATTGGCTCAGGGATCAGGATCAAGTAGGGACTGTGGCAGCCTTCAGTCCTCCCTGACTGTACATGTGGTTAGCCTAAGGACTCTGAGGTCTGGACAAGCAGCCATATCCTAAGATGGTAGCAGAGACCACGCCAAAGATGGTAGCAGAGACCATGCCAGCCAAAGACTCAACAGGGATGCGGCTACCTCAACAGACAGCAATGTGTGGACCTAGGACCCTCCAGGAAGCGAAACCCTTCCCAATTACCAGTGTGGCTGGGAGTAAGTCCCACGTTGTTGAGTCAGCCCCAGAAGAGGTACCTGGGGAAAGGACCCGAGAAGCCACTGAAGTGATGAATCATACTTGAATGTTGCTGGATGGCTTAGAGACTTCAAGACAGAGCCTAAGTTCAGCTATAGGAAAGGCAGGTTTTGTACAGCTGCCATGATGCCTCCCAGTGGAAGGGCTGAGCAACTCCTAGAGACTTCTCCTAACCAGATATTATGCCTCCTTCTCTTTTCTGACCTAGAGAGGAACCAGGCAATGTGGAAAAGGGGCTTAAAGGGCTCCCATGAGATAAGCAGAGCGCATGGAGTAATGGGTGGAAGGGACTCCAGACAGCCTCCTGATTTCTGAAGCTCAGTTCTCGCCTGACACCTTCCGTGAAGGCTGCTGTATGTAGCCTGCTAACCATCAGTCCGTCTATCCATGAATCTACTCACCCAACTGTCTGTCTGTCCATTCACTGATTCGTGCATCCACCCATCTCTCCATCCATCCTCCATCTCTCCATCCGATGAGGAAACACATATCCTACAGCCTCCATATCCTTGCCTCACCATCCTAATGCAGTCACGGGGGGCTTGACCACAGGGATATGTTCTGAAAAACGTGTCATTAGTCGATTTCACCACTGTGCGATGTCATAGAGTGCACTTACACAAACCTAGGTGGTACAGCCTACTACACATCTCGGCGGCAGGGTACAGCCTATTTCTCCTAGCCAGCATCACCACAAACATGTGAGTGATACTTTGCATTATGATGGCGATGAGGTCACTAGGCCATAGGAGTTGTTCAGTTCCTTGTCATCTTATGGGACTAAGTGGCATATGCAGTCTGTTGTTGGGCAAAACATGGCTCTGCAGCGCACAGCTGTGCTTGCTCATCTGGCTTTGTCAAGGAGGGAGCTATTCCATAGATATGTTTTTCTGTTGTTGTTCCAGATAACTTTTATTTTTTTAAGAGTGCCACCTTCATTTAGTTTAGTCATTTTGGAGAGAAAGTGCTGAAACTCACTGTAAACTTGTCTTTTGTTTTTTGAGATGGAGTCTTGCTCTGTCACCCAGGCTGGAGTGCAGTGGCATGGTCTTGGATCACTACAAGCTCTGCTTCCTGGGTTCAAGCGATTCTCCCACCTCAGCCTCCTGAGTAGCTGGGATTACAGGCATGTGCCACCATTACCGGTGAATCTTTGTATTTTTAGTAGAGATGGGGTTTCACTGTGCTGGCCAGGCTGGTCTCAAACTCCTGACCTAGTAATCCGCCTGCCTTGGCCTCCCAAAGTGGTGGGATTACTGGTGTAAGCCACTGCACCCGGCCCTTTCCTTCCTTCCTTCCTTCCTTCCTTTCTTCTCTTCCTCTTCTTTCTCTTGTTCTTTCTTCTCTCTTCTTTCCCCTTCCCTTCCATTCCTTCCCCTTCTTCCTCCTCCCCCTCTCCTTTCCTCCCTCCGTCTCCCTTCTTCCTTTCCACCCCTTCTTTTTTGATGGGGATATACTCTGGTTGCCCGGTGCGGAGTGGCGCAATTTTGGCTTCCACTGCAACTCCGACCCTCCGGGTTTTCAAGGCAATTCTCCCCTGGCTTAGGCCTCCTGAGAGACTGGGATTACAGGGCATTTTTGCCACCGGCGCCTGGCTAATTTTTTTTTTTTCTTTCGTATTTTAGAAGGGAACGGGCTTACATTCTTTAGCAGGCTGGTTTTTGTCTCCTGGATCATGGTATCCCCCGCCTTGAGCCTTCCAAAGTGCTTGGATTACAGGTTGTGAAGCAACCGTTGGCCCTGGCGCTTGGTCTTATTTTTAAAAGAGGGCATGTCACTTCAGTTAAGTCTTTCTGGATGATCCAGGTCACCAGCTCCAAACGGAAGTCACGTGCTTCCTTGTGGAACCAGTGGCACGGGCCCTCAGGGAGTATTTAGAGCTCTACACTAAATCGCCCCAGTGGCTCTGCTTTTTGACACTTCCTTTTGTACTTCCCCCCACCCCCCATTCTGAGATCACAGTTATTTTCCCAATTCTTATAGCCGTTGGCATGCTTCTAGCAATGTCTTGCCTAAATGGCCTTGAGCTGGGAAATCTGATAATCAAATGTGTTAGAATTGTGCATAAAGCGAGAGTACTGAGTTCTTTCTTTTATCGTGAGTACGGTACAGAGCCTTTGTATCCCGATGTTTGCCTCATTCTGGGTTCTCTGCTACTCTCTAGGCGGTTGAGGTCCATGGATACATAAGCCCTAGGAATGGGGAAGGCGCAGTGGACATGAATTGCTTTTCCCAGATCCTTGCTGCTTTTGCTCTAGAGAAAAGGATGAGATACCAGAGCCTGTCCTGACTGACTCCTCCCTCAAAGGGGTTGGAGGGAGATGGGAGCACAGGGTGGGGCCACCTGCGTCAGTGGTGCCTGAAACTTCTGAGGGAGAGTGGCTGGGCCCCACTGATAGTGTGCAGGAGGCTGAGGAAGGGATCCTTGTCTCCTCCTGACTCTGGGTGACAATGGCCAGTGTGGACTGGGGAGAGCCTGAGGGACTGGACTCCCCTCAAGGCCTGAAGCAGAACTGGCACCAGTGGTGAGATGGGCACCTGGGGTGGGGGCCAGGGGTGTCGGCCCATAAACGCCCCACACGCCACAGCAGCACACAGAGACTCCTTTAAATACACAGCGATGGGGACTCCCAAAATGCAGACGAACACTTGCACTCACAAGGGACACGCTTCCATAGCTGCAGCAACCCATCAGGGAACTGACCACACACACTCCGGCGGAAGGCCCCCTTCACTGCCTTCCCTCCGCAAAGATCTCTCCGCTTCACCACGGACACAGTGACACGTGCTATCCAATTGTGACAAACACATCATCTCTGAATTTGGACAGTGGAGTCCCATTTCAGAAGGTGACAACCCTCACACCAACAACTGCACATACTTTCTTACAGGGTCGGGTGCCTGTAACACGCCTGCACGGCGGGACAGCAAACTGCTGATTACCAGCACGCACTCAGATGCACGCTTGCACACATGCTCACACACGCTTACATGCACACTCGCACTTGCCTTCGGACACACATGGGTCCAGGCAGCGCCCTGGCTTGGCCTGACCCACTTCCTCCATCCTTTCTGCAGCTGCAGGGAATGCTCTGCCCTCCTCTGCTGGGTTTCCGCCCACTCCGTCTTTGAGTCTTGGATTCTGGGGGACTGGGGGGCTGATGCCAACATCCTCCTGTCTCTCCCCAGGAGTTTTGTCAACCACAGCCTGGCACTGGGGAAGAGTCGTTGCTTTGGCTTCGACATGGACTACACTCTGGCTGGTAGAGAGGGCTGGAACAGAGCGTATTGGGAGTGGAGAGAGCAGGGGTTGGGCGGCCAGGCACCAACCCCCTGACTCTGTCCGGGCCTCTGCAGCCTACAAGTCCCCAGCCTACGAGGCCCTGGCCTTCCAGCTGCTGCTGGAGCTCCTAGCGTGCATTGGATACCCACACGAGATCCTGCGCTACACCTACGACCCCACCTTCCCCACCAGGTGTGTGACTCAGGACAGGCGGGAGGCCACCCGGCCTTGGTACTCCCAACCACAGTCCCCCCGACCCCCGTCCCCAGGGGGCTGTTGTTCAGTGCGCTCTATGGGAACCTGCTGAAGGTGAATGCCCACGGGAATGTGCTGCTGGGTGCCCATGGCTTCACCTTTCTCTCAGAGTAAGGGACAAAGGGTGCCGGGAGGGTGGCAGGCCAGGAGGGGAGGACTGCTCACCGTGGGGGAGGACAGAGGGAGGGAGGGAGGAAGGACACACAAGCCCACGGGGGAGGCTCAGCACAGAAGGGATGGGTGGCGGTTGGAAGGGATGACCAGACCCTGAACAGGCCTCCAGGAGGCACTGGGGAGGGGGCATTGGCTGCCCCCCGCCTACTTCCTTCTCAGAGATCTGGAGCTTCTACCCCAACAAGTTCATTCAGAGGGATGACCTGCAGCACTTCCACATCCTCAACACGCTCTTCAACCTGCCTGGTGGGTGGAGGGTTGGGGGCACAGGAGGTGGTCCCGAGGTCTGGAGCTGAGGGTTCCAGGTCTGGCCTGGTGGGGAACTGCCTGGCTCCCTGGCCTGACAACTGACGGGCCTGTCTGCCCCAGAAACCTACCTCTGTGCCTGCCTGTTGGACTTCTTCTCCGGCTGCTCCCGTTACACCAAGTGCGTCTCATGCCCTGTCCAGCCCTGGGGCGACCAGTAGGACACAGTTACTGCTCAGGGACCAAATCCCAAAGTGGGGGCCCCCCAAGGGTTCCCCGAGGGACTGGAAGGGCTCCAGAAGGCTCAGTGGGAAGGCCTTTACTGCAAGGTGGCCCCCAACCCTGTCACCGGTGCTGCCCCCAAGGGGTGACCCTTAGCCCTGGGTGATGCCCCTCCCAGGACGGCTGGGACATAAGCCCAGTGAAGGCCTCAGTGTGGCTGGTGGGGTCACTCTAGTGTGGGACTCAGGGTTGGAGGTCATGTCAGGCCCCCTTATTGACCTCCCCTGTCCCCTCTTGGCCTGCCCCAGCTGTGACACAGGTTATCAGCATGGGAACCTCTTCATGTCCTTCCGAAGTCTCTTCCAGGATGTGACTGATGCCATAAATAATGTCCACCAGTCGATGAGTGAGTGGTCCAGGACCCCCGGACCCCTGACCTGTCTGCTCTTGATTCTCCTGGGCAGCCTTCGGGCCTCCAGTCCCCGTAGATTTTCCATCCACTTCCCACTGAGGACTGAGGTCTTGTCTGGGCTTCCCAGAGCCACCCACTCTCCCCATCTTGGACACAGACATGTGGGTGGGTACAGAAACACACACACACACACACACACACACAGACACACACACACACACACACACACACACACGGCCCTTTGCTCCCTCCTGCAGGACTGTCTCAAGGAGAAGACCCTGGAGGACTTGGAGAAATATGTGGAGAAGGATGTGAGTGGCCACGGACCCAGGGCCATGGCCATCACCGCTGAAGCAGCAGGGCTGCCCCCCGCAACCCTTCCCTGGCTTTCTTTGAGGTTTAGGCTGAGCTCTGCTCCCCAGGTGCTGGGGGTCGTTTTATGGGGCCTGGTGCCTACCTGCCTGGGCTGGGGTGGGCCCCCAGAAGGCTGAGACCTGAGGAGGGGATCCCAGGGCGGCTCTGGGAGTCCCACCCCTGCAAGTCCCTCTCTCTCTGCTCCAGCCACGCCTCCCCATCCTGCTGGGGAAGATGAAGGAGGTTGGGAAAGTGTTCCTGGCCACCAACAGCAGCTACAACTACACCGATTGAGTATGTGTATGGAGGGGTGGGCCCTCCGCCTCCTTCCTCGCCCCAGGAGACACGGAGGCATTGCAAGCAACAGGGAGGGGTGGGGCGGGGAGCAAAGACCCTTCTACCCCCACCACTGGGCTGGTCTCCTGGGCTCCATTTCTTGGCCTTTCAAGGCCTCAGGGGAATGGGCAACTTTCTCACCATCTTGCTCCTGTGGCCACCAGTGTGCCAGGGGGATGGTGGGTGAGGGCAGAGGCAGGCGGTGGCCCAAGTTTGGTGCCCTGACCCTGCCTTGTCCTTGCCAGGCCATCATGACCTACCTGTTCAGCATCAGTGAGGTGAGTATTGCAGTGTTGCGCGCATGGCTGGGGTGGGCTGTGCAAAGGGCCAGGGTGCCAGGGAGAGACGTGGGTCTCTCCCACGTCCAGCCTCCCTTTGAGGAAGACCTGAGTGTGTGAGTGGTCATTTCTCATGAGTGGAAGCTCCCCAGTGGGTAGGAGGCTGGTGACCTCAGCCAGGCCATGGGAGGAGCCTTTGCGGGGGATAGGAGGCAGTCAGCTCTGTGGGGAGGGGCGGCGGAAAGGGGGTGAGATGAGGGCATGGCAGGTCTAAGGGAGGGGTGCTGGGAGTGACAGGGCCTCGTCACTGGGAATGACCAGGTGTCACTGGGCAGGCAGCAGGGCCCTAACTTGGTAGCCATGCTGGTACCACGTGTCCCTGGGTCTCTATGCTGTGAGGAGATCTGGAGGCTGGCCTGAGGGTGCACATGATGTTCGACACCCACCTCCACAAGTTCCTTTTGAGCACTTTCTACTGCCCAGCTTGGCTGGGGACGCTGGGCAGCGAGACCTGGTTCCCAGGGGCTGGAGAGGTCTCATCCAGCTGGGAGGTTGGTGGGGAGAGGGCAGTCTGTGGTGGGTGACCGGCTGTGGCAAGGTCAGATTTACCAGGCTGTGCGTGTGCGGCTCGTGTGCACCCCCAACAGGCTGAAGCCTCGGTCAGGCCCCGGAGGTCCTACTTCGACCCGATAGTGGTGGACACGCAGAAGCCCCGCCTCTTTGCAGAGGGGGTGGTCCTGAGGCAGGTCAACACGGTAATGACAGGTGCAGAGGTCAGTCGACCTGCACCCATGGACCATGGTTAGAGAGGGCAGCCTGCCTGCCCCTGAGACTTGACCTGCCTTGGTGGCTGGCAGCTTTGCTGGCCTGTCTGTCCCTGGAGGCAGGGAACCTGAGGCCTCCTTCAGCGCCCTCTGCTGCCTCCTTCCTCCCACACCCCCATGATTACCTCTGCCACTCCCAGCTCCCTGAGACCCTCCCTAGCTAGAGACCAAAGATGTGGTTCTCCTGGCTCCAGGGCACCCCTCGGCCCCTCCAGGACTCAGGAAAGCTCCGCGTGGGCACCCACACAGGGTCGCACCAGCATTGTGCTCTCTACTCTGGAGGTACCAGCTCCCACCATGCCCCATCACTCCTTGGGAACCCTCCCTCCCTCAACTAAGAACCCAGGCCCCTCACCTGACTCAAGTCACCTGCCCCAAGGCAGGAAGGGCAAACGGGCGTCTTGCTCCCTTGGTGGGGCAGGCTCATCGGACATGGTGTGCGAGCTGCTTGGGGTTCGGGGGAAGGGCATCCTGTATATTGGGGACCACATTTTTGGGGACATTCTGAAGTCCAAGAAGAGGCAGGACTGGCGGACCTGCCTGGTGGTTCCTGAGCTGTCCCGGGAGCTGGACATCTGGGCCCGCGAGAAGGGTGAGCTGTTGGTGTCGGGAACAGTCAGAGGGGTACTGGCCGCCTGTGCAGAGGCCCCAGCACTGCCTTCCCCTTTTGCCCGTGGGAAGTTAGCAGTTGTGACCAGGAATCCTGGCCGCTCTGTTGTTTCTGGGGGAGGAAACAGACAAGGAAACGGAGACCCAGGGAGGCTAAGCGGCCTGCCCCAAGTCACACAGCCAGTAGGGGCAAAGCTGCAGGCGGCACCTTCCTCCTGCACCTGACCCCACCCTCCCCACCCACCCCGAGGAGGTTCAGTGAGTGGAAGCTACACACCCTCCATCCAGGAATGACTTGCAGTCATCCTCCAGGGCAGGGAGTCGTGTGAGCCCACACAATTTGGGGTTTGTCCTGAGAGCTGAGGCTTTAGGTTTGAGTCATTGCCGTGTGACCTCAGGAAGGTCGCCTGACTCCCTCCCCTGTCCCATGGGGCCTACGCTGTCCCTGCTTCGGTCTGGGCAGAGTCTCACCTGATGTAAGGGGCCAGGGGTGTTATGTACACAGTTGGGGGAGTGCAAGTCCTCGGCTGGACCACGGCAGACACAGGCAGGCAGGGCCCGTGGGTGACACGGGCCGTCACTCACCCCGACTCACTCCTGGAGGCTTTTCAGAGGGGTTGGAGGAGCTGAAGAGGCTGGACATGCACCTGGCAGACCCAAACCAGTGAGACCCTGGCCTTTCTGGGGGTGGGATGGGACAGGGAGAGGGATGGAGGGGCAGTGGCTCACATCCCTTCCTGGCAGCGAGGTCCTGGCCAAGGTTGTCAGAACAACAAGATGTGTTTCAGGCTAAGCTTCCCTAGCAAACTGGATGTGGGGACCTCTCTCACCCCCTTGGGACTGCTCACACTCCGTGACCTCTAGGCCCTTCTTCCGAACCCATCCAGCACTCAGGGACTTGCCCTCGCTCGTGTGCACACCCCCAGCCCGGCACCCCCACTGGATGCCCGCACGGTGTCCCCCCACCCTACCCCTGCTGGGGTCTAATGAGACTGTCCTGGCACTCGGAGGCTCTGTGTCTCCCCTGGGTCACCTGGCTATTTTTGTACCAGGGACATGGATGGGAGCAGTTGTGAGCTGCAAGTCATCAACTTTACCAACAGAGAGATCCAGGTGAGAGCTGGTGGTGAGGGAGGAAAGGACAGGCCCAGTGGGGGTGGAGCCGGGTGCGCTTCCCCACTGCTTGCCTGCTGGCTTTGTTCTTGGTGCCAAAGGCCCAGTTACCGGATTCTCCTCAACCTCGCCTGGGCTCCACCTCCCTTGTCAGCCAGCGCCCTCTGCTGGCCGACATTCCAAAGGGCAGTCCTGCAGTCCTCGCCAATCACCCTGCCTAGGAAATGCCTGCATGCTGGCTGGGCCCTTATTGACCCACTAGCCAGTTCTGATAGGAAATGTGATTTAGGGACAGTGAGCCCAGGGTCCTGGGGAAAGAGAGGAAAAGACAGTGTTCCCTCGTGGCATTACTGACCGGCCACCAAAAAGCTGGAGGTGCCCATGGGCTGGCCAGATGGTGGGAATCAGGTCACTCGGTCATCCCAAGCGCAGCTGGGGCCGATCACAAAGGGTCTTTGCAGAGCCTTTTACAAAGCACAGTCGTTTGATCTTCCCCACAGCCTTAAGAGGTGGACGGAGCTGGGATTGCCACCTTTATTTTACAGATGAGGAAACTGAGGCTCAGAGAGGGGTCATCCTGGGAGTAAATGTTGGGACCATTCTCTAGGCTCTAAAAGCAGATAAGGAAACAGGGCCTGGTGGTGGGGTGGGGCCTGCCACGAGAGTAGGAGCGGGGCTGGGGGTGTCGCCATTACCAAGTCCTCTGTTGGACTCAGAAGGTAAATTAAGCTGTGGGTTTGGTCCTGGGTGGTCCATCTCCAGGGCCAGGCAGGTAACTGTGATGGAAAGCCGGAGTGGGGCCTGTGGCAAAGAGGGGAGCTGCCCCACCTCCAAAAGCCCCACCTCCAAAAGTCTACAACACGCTGCTCCTTCCCTACAGAGGGGCATAGGCCTCAATGTCCCCCGGTGAGAGGCCCAGAGAGGCCAGGGTTGCCCAGAAAGGGAGTAGGCAAGGGCAGGCTTAGGTGGGCTGGGATTTCAATTGAGTGTATTGCCCCTCTGGCCAGAGGGTCACCCGGGAGCTGGACCTGTGCTACAGCACCATGGGCAGCCTGTTCCGCTGCGGTTTCCGCCAGACACTCTTCTCCAGCCGGCTGATGCGCTACGCTGACCTCTACACTGCCACCTGCCTCAACTTCCTGTACTACCCGCTCAGCTCACTGTTTCGGGTGGCCCTGGAGTTGGTGGGTCCCTGTGGAATCTCCATGGCTGTCCCTGAACGTCTGCCCTAGAAGGACCCACTGGTCCCCAGCCTTGCTAGGAGCTTGCAAGGTCACCAGCCTCAATCTCCCACCTTCAGACTCAGTGGGGTCACAGCCTTGCAGATAACTGTCCTTGTCTTAACAGATGCATGGGAAGAGCTAGGTTTATACAGATAAGATGCCTCAGCAGGGATATTCTTCCTCGTGCCCAACCTTAACTTCTGCTTTAGATTGAGACCACACTATCTCATCACTTCCTTGGTAGAAAGGATATCAGTTGCAAGGAGGAAGGCACAGTACTCCCATCCTCAGTAAACATACAGTGACTTCCAAGGGGGTGGAGGAGGCAGCCGATGTTACAGTAAACACTCTGGCTGGTTTTCCTCTGGGAGACCGGAGGATGCTTCCGGGTTAAGAACAGGGTGGCAGAGACGGCTATGATGGCACTGGGCAAGGGTTAGCAGGAGTCATGAGACTGGCCAGCGCAGGGCTTCCCTGGAACCTACACGTGTCAGTCCTCCCAAGTTGGTATCATCATTTCCATTTGATAAGATGTACAGCCTACAGTTTAGGATCTGGACTTGAAGCTAGACCTTTGAGGCTCCCTGCCGCCTGCTTTCCCTGCTGCCCTTGGCTGCCCTCCAGATGTTTGAGAGGGGAAAAACCATTTATTGAGTGTCTGCTGTGCTTCCTGCACTGGGCTGGGTGCTTTTCATCGATTCTGCTTAATACGCAATATAACTCAGCAAAGTAGGTTTTATCTTCCTCATTTTATCATTGACGAGGAAGCACAGAGAACCTAAGTGACTTGCTGTCACAAAGCTAGTGGACCACACAGCTGGGATGTGAGCCTGTCAAGCTCCAAGGGTCACACTCTGTCCCCTGCACTGTGCTGCCACACGCTTGGGGGAACTGGCTTTCACCGGGCGGCCTCATCTCATCACTGGGCTCTTAGATGGGCTGGACCGGAGAGCTCCTGTGGGCAAAGCTGGGGGTCCAGGCACAGCCATCTGTGCTCGTAGATATTACTGTTAAAGTAGAGACCAGACAGGTAAAGAACACACTGGCTCCCCCTCCCCAAAAGGGACAAAACATTTAAAGAAATTTGACCTTGTCAATCTTCCTGGTTTGGGATTTTTTTTTTTTTTTTTTTTTTTGAGACCGAGTCTCGCTCTGTTGCCCAGGCTGGAGTGCAGTTGTACAATCTCTGCTCAATGCAACTTCCACCTCCTGGGTTCAAGCAATTATTGTGCCTCAGCCTCCCAAGTAGCTGGGATTACAGGCGTGCACCACCATGCCCGGCTAATTTTTACGTTTTTATAGAGACGGGGTTTCACCATGTTGCCCAGGCTGGTCTTGAACCCCTGGGCTCAAGCAATCCACCTGCCTCGGCCTCCCAAAGTGCCGGGATTACATGCGTGAGCCACTGCGCCTGGCCTTGGCCTGGGATTTTTGAGGAAGTGAAGTCTGGCTACCGGAACCTTCATGCCCCTGCTGGCCTTCCAGGCGCCCTCCTCCGCAGCAACGTTGTTGGGCGGGAAGCTGGCCGCTGTGGGCAGGGGAGCCTGTGCATAGCTGAGGAATCCTGGAAGGCCGTACCTGGGACGGAGTGCTCCACCTCCACCTGCATTGATCCCTACAGATGCCACATAAGTCAGTTGTGGAGCAAGAACGGGCCAGTCTGGACCCTGCCTCCCGCCTCCTCTCCTGCAGCCAGAGGGTGAGTGGCTGTGGCCAAGGAGCTCTGTGGCCACAGAGGGCTTGGAGCAGTGGTTCCCAGTGGGGTTGTATCAACCTCAGGGCGCATGAGGCAATGGGGGCGGGGGGCTTGTGGGCTTGCTTTCGTCTGCAAGCATAGTCATTCCTGATTATTTATGTAAAAATACGTATTATTTTATTGTAAAATGCTTTTCTTTTTATTTCTCCTATGTTATAGTTAGGGTATTATATTGATATTTTAAATTATTATAGAGATGATAATTGTATCGATGAATTTCAATTCAGGATGGAAAAGTAGAAGTTAAATATTTGTTTTTAAAATGGGATATTGGGGCCAGGTGTGGTGTTTCACGCCTGTAATCCCAGCACTTTGGGAGGCTGAGGCAGGCGGATCGCCTGAGGGGCAGAAGGTCGAGACCAGCCTGGCCAACATGGTGAAAACCTGTCTCTACTAAAAATACAAAAATTAGCTGGGCATGGTGGTGGGAGCCTGTAGTCCCAGCTACCTGGGAGGCTGAGGCAGGAGAATCACTTGAACCCAGGAGGCAGAGGTTGCGGTGAGCTGAGATTGCACCACTGCACTCCAGCCTGGGCATCAGGACAAGACTGTCTCAAAAAAAAAGCGGCGTTGGATCCAAAAGGGCGACAGGTTCTGCTCAGCAGTGCTTTGTGCACCGTTGGACCCTGCACCCCTACAGACTGCTGTTGGCCAATCCATACATATCATTCCCTCCAGGGAAGGTTGCAGGACATGCCCTCTGCCACAATGAGGCTTCCTCCCCAGACACGCTTTGTTAACATCAATGACTAGCAGCTCTAGCTTCAGATCCCTTTGACACTTTATGCGGCCTGACCCGCCTCTGAGCTGAGACAGGAGTGGATGCCTGGGTTCCTCGTTGGGTTCTGTACCCCTAAAACCCTGCATAAAGGCTCCTGTTCCTCCCTTGGCTTTCTGGGGGCTCACATTAAAAGATGTGCATCCCATAGGTCCCATTTGGCTGTGTTGTACCAGGCACAGTGTTCATTCTTTCAACCAGTGTTTACGGAGCACCTCCCGTGTGCTGAGCAGTTTAGAAAACAAAGTGTAAGTTACTTCATTCCTGCCCAGGAGAAGCTCAAAACTCATGTGTGTTCACAGGCTTTAATCAGTGGTTGGCAACTATTTTTCTATCCTAGCCCAGCAGAGAGATGGACACACTCCTGTCAGCAACAGTGGCTTGCTGGGGAAGCCTGTGGTTTGATCCTTCTACATCCTCACCCCATCAGGATCCAGCCTAGGGCATTTTGACACATTATCTACCCCTGGTTGGGAGTCACTGTGTGAGCTTGGGAAGAAAATATCCGTAGTCACTTTCTGCGTTTCTTATAAGGGTGAGGGCAAAGAGAGAAACGAGGACTAGGAGAGTTGCATCGAGGCTGACGGGGTCCCAGACATGGGCCAACATCACGGGTCATCTTTTACTTGAGACATTTTTCAGAGAACAGAAGTATAGAAGAAGGAAAAAGCAAGTGTATTGAAATCTCCTAAATGTAGCAGGTTTGGAGCCTGCAAACACTTCTTTTAGGGAGGAGGGAGTATTGCTCTTAACCTACAAGGCATCCCCGGCAGTCTTTGAGATGTTTAGAAATGTGTGCACAAGTGAAACTATTTTACCTGCTTCTCTTGAACGCATGATGTCTCATATCCAATTTTATTTCTAAACATTTCTTTTTAAAAATAGTTATTTCTGTGCATTTCTGATTCTGTTACTAGTAAGAACAATAAAACCTGATTGGATCTGTATTGCCTGACTAACTGCTTTTTCATCTGGGTCACTACGAAAGATGTTAAATGAGAGAGCCCAAATGTCTTTGAGTTTGTATATACGCATTGAAACACATAAAAAGTCATACTCACGATTTTAAAACTTCACTCTCGAGTGTGTTAGAAGCTTCTCTGTGGTATTAAAACGCTGAAGCATCGTTGTTCTGATGTCACTGATTTCAATTTACTCCTACAGTTCACTTTTTGTCTGTTAGCGGTATCATCTGGCATTTTACGGAGACCTAGGTTGAATCTGTATGTTTGAAATGATAAAATGAACCCGATACATTTCATTAGCTTCATTTTCTGTGGATAAACAATGGCAACACTTGGATGCCTGAGGATAAATAAGGGACAACGGGTCATGGAATCGGAGAGTTTACTTTTTTTTTTTTTGAGACAGAGTCTCATTCTGTCGCCCAGGCTGGAGTGCAGTGGCACGATCTCAGCTCCACCTCCTGGGTTCAAGCAATTCTTCTGCCTCAGCCTCCTGAGTAGCTGGGGTTACAGGCACACTCCACCACACCTAGCTAATTTTTGTATTTTTAGTAGAAACGGGGTTTCACCATGTTGGCCAGGCTGGTCTCAAACTCCTGACCTCAAGTGATTCGCCTGCCTTAGCCCCCCAAACGTGCTGGGATTACAGGTGTGAGCCACCAAGTCCGGCATCTTTTTTTTTTTTTTTTTAAAAACATCTTTGCATTTCGGAAGCTTCCAGGTTTGACACTGCTAAGGCCTTTTCTTCCTTTCCCTGGATTGACTTTCAGGTCCCAGAGCCTGGAGGGGCAGGTTCTCCAGGTAGATACCGCGTCTCACTGGCCTGTGTCTTTAAACACTTGATTCTTACTCAAGGGCTAAAGGACAGTATTTATCAGAAAAACTGCTCAGACCCTAGAGCCCATACTTTTCTGGAAAGGTCCTGAAATACAGTGGAGTAGCTAATACTACAAAAATCAAATCTTCGAATTCCCACCCAGGGTAGAGAGGAAACAGAAAAGGACTGAGGGGTAAACAATCTGGCAGAAATGCCTTAGGGGATCCTAGCGAGGGAGAGGAGAGAGGGAGGGGCAGGGGCAGGAAAGAGGTGGCCAAAGGGCCTTTCTTGTGCTCTTCCTATGCCCGGCTCATTCCCTGCCTCTTCTCCCTGTTACATCCGCTCTCCCCTCAGCTAACCTCCCTGACTGGACCAGTTTCTCTTTTTTTTTTTTTTGAGACGGAGTCTGGCTCTGTCACCCAGGCTGGAGTGCAGTGGCCGGATCTCAGCTCACTGCAAGCTCCGCCTCCCGGGTTCACGCCATTCTCCTGCCTCAGCCTCCCGAGTAGCTGGGACTCCAGGCGCCCGCCACCACGCCCGGCTAGTTTTTTGTATTTTTTTTAGTAGAGACGGGGTTTCACTGTGTTAGCCAGGATGGTCTCGATCTCCTGACCTCGTGATCCGCCCGTCTCGGCCTCCCAAAGTGCTGGGATTACAGGCTTGAGCCACCGCGCCCGGCCGGACCAGTTTCTCTTTAGTCCCTCGCTCATAGGCCTCTATTTCTCAGGCCTTGGAGTCTTGCATTTGTGGTTCTTAGATTAACATGTGTCCCCACTGGACTCTCGGCTTCAAAAGGTAATGTTCTTTTGGTTCACCGTTGTGTCTCTGGCATCTACAGTATTTTATTGAATGACGCATGTCACCCAGTTTATTATTACTCTTGTAGAACTGCAGGGAAAGGGGCGAGGCAAAGAATATGAGACAAGAGAAAGTGGAGAAAGGACATAGGGCTTTGGATTAGAACGCTGCTTCTAAACTCTCAGGAATGTGTCTCGGTAGGAGGTAGGACAGATACTTCTATTTGGCTAGTTTTTTTTTTTTTAAACCTGATGTCACCTCTGCACTCCTGTTTTATCTATACCTTAGAGACAGAAGCACACCATTGCTTCCAAGACTGTGTGCAGACACTGACATTCATCTCCCATTTCTGGAAGAATTTTTAGCTGGGCATGTGGCCATCTGATACACATTTCCCTGCTTCTTTAGATGGGTGGGGACATGTGACCAAGTTCTGGCCCCTAAATTCTGGACAGAAGTAATGGTCCAACTTCCAATCTGTGACCTTAGGAGGGGTGTGCCTTCCCCTTCCTCTCTTGCCCCTTCCAGCTGGCTGGAGAGCGAAGTTGGTTGGGAGCCCTCTTTGGCCACATGGACGAGGCTGCCTCCGAGGGATGGTGGAGTCACAAGACAGACATAGTCTGGACTTGGCATTACATTAGCATTGGGCTGTCACTTGGATGGCTGATGTGAGAGAGACGCATTTCCATTTGGGACTAGTGACAGCAGCTGAATTGACATCTCATTCTGGCATCGTCTTGAGCAGTCAGGAAATGAAGAGAAAAGAAGCAGCATCTCTGGGGTAGTGAACTAGTGGTAAAAATGTGATCATTTACTTGTAGAATAAATGACAGTACTTTGGCTGTCACAGCGATTCCTGCTTGGTAAACTGGGAACAGTTCAATCATTTATCTTGCTCAGATGTGTTGTTTCCTTATCATCACCCTAGTCTTCATTTCCTTACTTTAAATAGAGATAGGAGTTAAAAGTTCCGGACCTGAAGCCAGACAGCCCTGATTTTGAAATTGCAGGACTGACATTTATTAACTACTCTGTTTCCATAACCATGTCATAAAGCTATTGTAAGGATATAGTGAGATAACGGACACGGAGCGTGGCCAGAGTAAGCACTAAATAAGGGTTTTCTATGCTATTATGAGAGAGAGAGAGAGAGAGAGAGAGAGGGAGAGTGTGTGTGTGTGTGTGTGTGTGTGTGTGTGTACATTAGTCGGGATTTTTTCTTTAGCAACTGAAGGAAACGTAATGAAATTGGTTTGAGAAAAGAGAGAATTTATTGGCTCATATAACTAAAAAGTCCAGGGTTAGCCCAGCTCCAGGCATAGCATTAACCAGGGAGTCAAATCAGGCATTGGACATAGCTTGCTCTCTCCAACTCTCAAGTTTATTCCGTGTTGGTACTATTCTCTGGCAGGTTTTGTCCACGAGGTTATAAGATGGCTGTCCCCAAACTCCAGGTTTCTATCTTTTCAGCTACTCTACCAGGAAGTATCTAATGAAAGTCTGGGAACTGATGCCTCACTGGTTGTGAGACACTACCCCATCCTCCAATCAATGCCACTGGCCAGGGAAATGCCAAGTTTGGCTTTGCCAGGCCTGGGTCACACGCTTATACTGGGGTTGAGCCCATTCTTCTTAAACCACGTAGATTGTCAGCAGGAAAGAGGTGGTAGTAGGGAAATTGGGGTGCATTTTTTTGTGAGACAGAGTCTTGTTCTGTCGCCTAGGCTGGAATGCAGTGGTGTGATCTTGGCTCACTGCACCCTTTGTTTCCCGGGTTCAAGT